TTTGCTAACTTGAATGTTTAAAGTGCTTGTAAAATACTCCCAAGGTTTAAAGTGTAAGTGGTTGCCACCCTAAAGGTTTTTTATGAGATTTTCCCGAAAATGAATTCTCACCTATTTTATTTTATCCTAATTATGCCATACAGTCACACTCATAGTTTGGAAGATAGAAGAAGGAAAACACTTTTTTGTGATGGTGACCCTAATAATAATGGATAATTAAAATTGTTACAAGAAAGAATTGTGTTCTCTCAAGTTGTTGTTAAGATGAACGTGAAGAAACTGAACATGTCTAAATTACAAATGTTTGAATTTTGTGAGATTCCTGTTAATGACAGATTCCTCTCCAATTGCCCATTGGGACACGACCGATTAGACCGAACCAAAAAGAGTAAAAAAAGCAATAGAATAATACTAACGAAAGAAGAAGAGTGTACCGAAACGGCAAGAGACACGTACGTAGAAGAAAGCGGCCCATAGAGATAACATATTAATTATGTCAGGCATTGGCTCCTTTCCCCATACGCCACCAATCAATTCAATTCAATACTCATTCATTTTCTCTTTTGGTTCTAATTAAAAAGGATCTGATTTCCTTCCTTGTTCCTACGTTCCCCAGAAAATCCATTGTCGGAAAATATTGATCATCGATTGATTTAATTGATTTGATTTTCAAAAGGGTGGGGGAGGGAAGGGGATATTAGATGGGTTTTCTGGTGGATACGCAAAAGGAAGGAGGTGGCCACTCTTGGGGTTACCTCAGGAGTTTGGTCCGTAGGAAACAGGTCGACTCTGCTGATGAGCCTCATTCTCATCATCATCAGCTCGCTAAAGCCCTTACTGTTCCCCACTTGGTTGCTATTGGTAACATTTTTTCTCTTTTTCTTCAGAGGACCTTTTCAAGTTCTGTTTTTTTTTTCTTTTTTTTTTTCAAGTTCTAGGTTATATTTCAAATGAATTTTTTTCATCATGTCAACTCCAAGATTGATCCTTTTGGACGCTTTGTTATGCTTTGTTTGGATGTTAGGTGTTGGAGCAACAATAGGAGCGGGAGTGTATATTCTTGTGGGGACAGTTGCAAGAGAGCACTCAGGACCATCTCTTGCTTTGTCCTTTCTTATCGCTGGAATTGCAGCTGCTCTCTCTGCGTTTTGCTATGCTGAACTCTCTAGTCGTTGTCCCTCTGCTGGCAGCGCCTACCACTATTCCTACATTTGTGTCGGCGAAGGGTACTTACTCCTACTCATCTTTCTTTAACTCTTCTTTCTGTTCTGCTAAACTTGTTTTTCTTATCATTATTTTTCAAGTGTTGCGTGGTTGATCGGTTGGGCCCTGATTCTGGAATACACCATTGGTGGCTCTGCTGTTGCCCGTGGCATTTCCCCTAATCTGGTCTCTCCCCTTTCTTACTTACAACTTTAATCCTTATATTACTCCATGGCCATTAACCTTGAGCTAGGGAACGTCAGATTGCTTGAATGTCAATTATTATTACTTCATTTCTCATGGATTTTCTAATTTAGATGGGTTAATTAACAAAATTACAGGCATTGCTTTTTGGTGGTGAAGATGGTTTGCCTTCATTCTTAGCGCGTCACCAGATCCCAGGTCTTGATGTTGTTGTTGATCCATCTGCTGCTATTCTTGTCTTCATTGTTACTGGCCTCTTGTGCCTGGGAATTAAGGAGGTACCTACAAGCTCTTAATTTATTGATAAATCATTGGCAACGTAAATGTTCAGATCGTATTTTTTTATATATATGTATGCAGAGTACATTTGCTCAGGGGATTGTAACTGCAGCCAATGTGTGTGTCTTGTTATTTGTCATAGTAGCTGGCACTTATCTGGGCTTCAAGACTGGTTGGGCTGGTTATGAACTTTCCTCAGGGTAGGATAAGCATTCTCTATCACTTGAGAGACTCATCATTGTTTTAAGAAGACAGATAGGATCCAACCAAAACCATTTTATTCGTTTTTTAGGCTTTTTCCATTTGGAGTGGATGGAATGTTTGCTGGTTCTGCTACTGTCTTCTTTGCATTCATTGGGTTTGATTCGGTTGCAAGTGCTGCAGAGGAGGTAAATTTGGGAATCCATGCATGACGTTTTATAGCTGTTTTCCTCTTTGAAGCACCTAGTACTAATAAGTCTATCCTCATCTATGGGCAGGTGAAAAACCCCCAACGGGATTTACCTATTGGAATTGGTCTTGCACTCTTTCTCTGTTGTGCTGTCTATATGATGGTCTCTATTGTAATTGTTGGCTTAGTCCCTTACTATGCCATGGATCCTGACACTCCCATATCCTCTGCATTCGCTAGTCATGACATGCAATGGGCCGTGTAAGTACATGATCGATTCAGATCCAAATATGTGTCATTCTACTTGAACATATGATTACGAGATTGATTGTTTTGTTTTGGAAACTTTGATGTAGATACTTGATAACTTTAGGAGCTGTCATGGCTCTCTGCTCAGCTTTAATGGGTGCCCTTCTCCCTCAGGTAATATGTCAGAAAGTCAGGTGTTTTTTTTTTCATTGGTGTGTGGTTGTTACTCAATATGACTAATTTTTCATTTTCCAGCCGCGAATTCTAATGGCAATGGCTAGGGATGGTCTGCTGCCTTCTCTTTTCTCAGACGTTAATAGACGGACACAGGTTCCGGTTAAAGCGACCATAGCAACTGGGCTTTGTGCAGCAACCTTAGCCTTCTTTATGGATGTTTCACAGCTCGCAGGCATGGTAAGACACAGTATTGTTATTTCTTGTCTAGTGGAACTTTTTCGTCGTTATTGTAGTATTTAAGAGCTCTCGTGGTGATGGTGCAGGTGAGTGTTGGGACACTTCTGGCATTTACAATGGTGGCAGTATCAGTGTTGATACTCAGATATGTTCCTCCTGATGAGCTACCTCTTCCGGCATCTCTTCAGGATAGAATCGACTCTGTTTCCTTTATATGTGGTGAAACAAAGTCATCAGATCATGTTGGCACTTCTGACAATAGTAATAAACAGCCTTTAATTGGAAACAATGATGCTTCGGTTCATTTCAGAGTTATAGAAAAACAAGAAGCTCTTGGGTGTTGTAAGTAGCTTCCACTTTTGAGACACATCTGTATCTTCCACTAAGATGTTTGAGCACAGATTTTGACATTTGTTGATGATCCTTTAGGGGTTCTGAGCGAAGAAAACAGAAGGAAGGTCGCTGGATGGAGCATTATGTTCACTTGTATTGGGGCCTTCCTTCTAAGTTATGCGGCATCAAGCCTCAACTTCCCAGGGTTAGTTCTCACTCGCCAGTCTCTATTTAGAGCTTTGAGTTTCCTCAAAAAGAAAAGTTTATCATCGTCTGAAAATGGTTTGCAGGGTTATTAGATACCCGTTGTGTGGTGTTGGTGGAAGCCTCCTCCTTGCTGGTTTGATTGCTCTGAGTTCGATAGATCAGGATGATGCCAGGCACACTTTTGGACATTCTGGAGGTAAATGAATTGCTGTTATAACTTGATTTTGGTAAACAATTAATTTCTTAAGCATATGAAAGGCAGGCCTTAAAATGTGTATAATGTGTGTTATGTGAAAATTCGTGGTGAATAGGTTTCATATGCCCGTTAGTTCCACTCCTGCCAATCATATGCATCCTCATCAACATGTACCTTTTGGTTAACCTTGGGTGAGCATGCTCTTCCTTCATTTCCCATTTTATTACTCCTCTAAAAGGACCATCATAGATGTAATATTTCTGGCTGGTTCACATGGCAGATCTGCGACATGGGCTCGTGTGTCTGTATGGCTGGTGATTGGAGTGTTGGTGTATGCTTTCTATGGACGGAAACACAGCTCCCTGGCCAATGCAGTTTACGTAACAACGGCTCATGCGGAGGAGATATATCGTGAACATGAAGCTTCTTCTTTGGCATAGTGTCTGTGAGGGAGTCAACTCTTTGGTCAGAAGAATATATATATGTAACAAAATCTGTATCATTACTTCTGATTTCTCGATGATAAAAAACTGGCATAATCTATTCCCACACGTTCTTTGTATATAATATACACTATATAATCAGAAAAGATCCGGAACGCTTCTCAGTGTGGTATCTCTGTTTGGGGAGAGAGGAGACTAAAAAAATATTTATTTTTAAATACAAAAACGTGTTAAATACATCTATAACCCTAAGAAAATAAGATAATTACATGATCCAACCACCAATCCAACCCATCCAAATCCAATTGGGCACAACCTGGTTAGTAAACCAAAACACTGTGTGTTTGGACTCCTTTCTCTCAAACGCGGAGACGCTCCCTTTTCTCCCTTCATTTCAATTTCCTTCTCCTTTCTCTGGTGATCCCCCTTCTGGAACCCTAGGCGACTCTCAAACTTATCTCGATAATCCTTGTCATCGAAATCGAGATTCCATCAGTCTCTCCCTCTCATTTCTCGTGTCTTAACTTTCTCTTTGTCTCTGTTTGAGAATTAAACCCGAAACCCAAAGTCAAGAACCGCTTTGTTTTTTCTTCCTTCTCCACCGAATCGAGTCTCCATCATCATTTCTTCTGGTAAGGGAGTGATTAGTTTCCTTTTGTTTGGTTGTTATTAGGTTGTTTTGTTAGTAGATTTGAAAAAGAAATTTGGGAATAACTTATAAGTTGTAGAAGAAATTAAGGAGGTAGTGTCTTAGTAAACGAGATTGTGATTTGAAATTTGGAAAGACAAGTGAAATATTAGATTGGGTATAAGTTTGAACAGAAACATAGAAAAAATAGCGATTTTTGTGGAGTTGGTGATTCACCTTTGAACAGAAACATAAAAATCTGTGTTATTTTATTATTGGATATGAAAACCGAAATGGTGATTGACTCTTTGAATGGTAGGATAAATCTAAATTGAAAGAGATGGTGATTTGTTGAGTGAATGAATGGTTTGAGATTAAGCAAAGTAATAATTCTAGGTTGTGCCTAAATGTGTGTCGTTGTCGTTGTTTCTGGATGTTAATAGGAAAGAGAGAATGGCAGGTAAAGGTGGAGGAAAAAAAATGACTAAAAAGAAAAGAGGGAAATCCACAGGACCTCAAAAATCTGATGCTCTTGTTGTTGAAGATCATGTGGAAGAGCTATCAGAAGGGAACAATAGTGATGATCTGTGTGAAACCCCCTCTAAAGTATAATATTCTTTTGGATTTTAGTAATAAAATGTCACTGCTTGTGTGTGCGTTGAATTAAGTGTCACTGTTGTCTATCAGGGAATGAAAGGCCAAAAAAGAAAGCGTCCATCTACTGAAGTTGGAGTCGCCAGTAGAACTAGAGCTAGAAATGCGGTATTAAATAGGAATGAAACGGTATGAGAAGATGTAGTCCATCAAGAGAGTAATTCATTGAGAGGAACGACTGTTGTTTCGTCCTCACTTGATACCGAAAGTGAAGACATGTCTGCTGTTTCCTCTAAGGTAATTGTTGCATTCCTTTTAATCATTCATTTTATTAGTTTTACTAGTAAAGAATGACTGATACATATATATTTTGATTGCAGGAAAGGCAACTACCGCATCCCCTTGAATTGTACTTCAAGAGCACACAGTACTCGACGACTTGCAAAATTCAGACCAAGTGCAGAGTGAAGAAGACACTCGATGTGATTAAGGAACTTAAGGAGGAGGTCGGCTGGTTCACAAGCCATCCTCAGTTTCGTCATTTCTTCCACATGCCTGATGAAGAATTCTTGAAGCTAAGAAATGTGGATCTTACTCATGCGCACCATTCATATTGAAGAAGATGCTGCATGGTTTGCGGTGAATGGTGTGTCCATCCGCTACTCTATGAGGGAGCATGCCCTTATCTCTGGCTTGGATTACCATGAGTATCCGAGTGAATATTTGACGCTCGGCGGTACTAAATTTGTGCATTTTTACTTCGGTGATAAGAAGAAGATAGCCATAATGGATGTGGAGCAGAAGCTGATGTCTATGGAGACGGCATGTAATGATAGATTGAAGATAGCTGTCTTGTTCTTCCTTGGTCGGGTTATCAGAGGGGCAAAGGATTCTGGACCATTAGGCCCGTTCATCTTAAGGATAGTGGAAGATTTGGATGTTTGCAGAGACTTTCCTTGGGGTCGTCTAACATTTGAGGATGCAATAAAGGAGATTAAGCATGTGATGGAGCGTCTGAAGGGTGAAGTGCACTATGCAACCGGCTTTAATGAATTCATAATTCCATTAGAGGTAAAGCATAAAATTTAGTGAGATTTTTGTTATTTATAACCAAAAATCTGACACTGTGACACTTCATTTGTGTAGATTTTAGCTTTTGAATGTATTCCTAAGCTGGGAAAAAAATTTCGAATCTCTTCACAAGGCACCAGTGGAGATTGTCGTAGGATGTGCAAGAGACGGTTTACAAAGAATAGCATGAAAGGTTATCCTTTGGAAGATATATATGATGCGTTTAAAAAGATAAAAAGGTATATTTTTATTCAATTTAGTAGAAAATAACAGAATATTTAAACTGATATTTCTGAATGTTTTATTTTCAGGTTATTAACAGTGTGTTGGTTCCAACAGTGAATGAGGAAATTTTGCTGGCTCGTAGCCTTGATTTGGAGCCAGAGTATCAGCCTGAAGGCATCACAAGTGATAGGTGGAACTACTGATTATCCTTGCACTAATTAATCAACTTTTAAGTCTGTTTTTGTTCAAATTTTGCATTACCCATGATATATAATTCATATTAATGAAACTAAAACCAAGAAATCATCAAAACAGGTTCAAAACGTACATAAAATATACCTTAAAACCCATAAAAAGTTTACAAAATCCTTTTAACTCTTAAAATTTGCATTCAATCTTTCTTTTGTTACACAAGCCGATATATACACTTTTTTATAAGTATTCCAACAAAATTTCATCAAAAACGAACATAAATTATAACCGAAATCCATATACATAGTTTTGAAAATCATTTTCTCTCTCTAAAATTTTTATCAATTCTTACTTTTTTAGGTTACCCATGGTATACACAAACATTTAAAAGATATTTCACACAAAATTTCATGAAAAAACAGACAAGAATTATCTGATGTTCAAGCTTCAAAATCGCTAATGGAGAATGGAGAAGAAGGTCTTCACGCAGAGAGAGGAGAGGAACATGAAGACGTGTGGAGTAGAGAAAATCTGATTAGTTAAGGTTGTTTGTGGACTCCATTTGGTTGTTGTGTTTGGTTGAGTATATTTAATTGAAAAATTGAATGAATTAATGAGGTGGAGAAGAAATATATTAAAGAAAGAAAGGTTAGTATAAGAAATTCATAGATAAAATAGTAGTGAGAATAGAGAGGGGATAAGAAGAATGATTTTTTTTCCATGAGAGCATTTGGAAGGTTTATGAAAAATGTTAGGCATTTCTACAAAATGAGTGCTTGGATTCCTTTTATGTTTTAAACACATCTTTAATGGACATTCATAACATGAGCATGCGGCTATGATCGATGGCTCCATTAAAGTTTTCTCGCTGGGGGAAAAATGTATTTTAAACAAATCATTCACTAAAATCACAATAGATGATGCATGGCAGTAAAGGCTAAATGCTCAAGGCCATGCACCCCATTTCTGGTCTTGATCTGGGCGACACCACTCGGCATCTACTTTTTTCTTATCTTTGGTACTGTCTTGTTGTTGAGTGGTTAATGGCCATAGGTCTCCCCAAAATGATTTCTTGGCCTGCAAGTGAAGATGAGGGTTCTTGCTTTTCGTTATCACTCTCCTCTCAAACGCTCCCTCTGAACCTTCCTCATTGGTCGGCACACACATGTCCAAGGTCACTTGTTTCCCCTTGCGGAATGGAGGGAATATGATCCTTCCCCATCCTCCTCCCACGCTCGCCCTCCCACTACCCTCTTCCTCTTCTGCTTCCTCTACTTGTACTTCATCCTCATCAGTTCCTTCACCTCCTCCTTCTTCTTCTTCTTCTTCTTCCACTACCAGCTCATCCTCGTCCTCATCAGTGATATCAGAGTCCTGTGCTCTTGGATCAATATAAGGCACCTCAACCACCTGTGTTTTGATAAATTCCTCTGCATATATCAAAATGGATTCCTTATATCCGTCAGCTCAAAATGGTCCAACTCTGGAAAATAAATATAATGTACACACTAGAGATTACCATAATCAATCTCGAGATCCTCAGGTTTCCTATTCGCGCGCATCTCTTTCAAAGTCTCCAATTTGATATTATCAAGAGGCCATGGTTCCCTAAATTTGAAAGCAAAACCCTAAAAACTCAAAATCCTAAACAACTTTTCTCTGAACATAAATAATTCATACAACATCACCAAAACTACCAACCGTGGGCGCTGACCTCTCCTGAAAACCACAAAGGAAAACTTCTCATCCTCAAACCCACGCAAGGGAACTCCTTTTGTACGCTGCAAAAGGTTAATGTTTAGTCATCAACAAACAGAGAGATGACTGAATAATCTATATATTTGCAGGAAGGAACCTTGTAAGAACGCTGGGACGAAGTCCTCTGCAACCGCTGAACAAAATGGCAATACTTTCCTGTGTTCTCCAACGGACACTTTCCATCATGAGGGCACTGCTCGTTTTGCAGCCCAAATTATGCATTACAATTCATTCAACAGCTAAGGAGACTTTTTAAGTATTGAGACTTACGGGAGCAACAATATGCGCACCAGATTTGAGATCGAGCACTTCCTTGCCAATTTCAGCTTTCTCCTTTTTACGCAGTTTCTATACAAAATTGAACACATTCCAAGTAAGCAGAAGAGGAACAAATAGCTTGTGACAACAGAGAGAAATAGATGGTTATTTGAAAACTACTCTGTTCTCCATCCACAGTATATAGGATCGCATCTGAGATATAATATTAGCACCATGAGGCGTTCCTGGTTCAACCAAAACCTGTTCCACCAGAATTTAAGTAAACAAATCAAAATACAGGGTAGAGGACAAGTAAATGTTCTTCTAGTGTCATTGAGAATGAAAGCATACCAAGAGATCATCAGTAAGGTCCCAGAGCTGGCGAACCATAGTAATCCTGTCTTTTAGAGATGGTATCTCCCCTAGCACATAGGACTAAAACCACCATTGGTATAAATTACTCAGTACTTGTCTTATAAACAAGAATCACAGAAGGTATGAGTGACTGTTAAACTCACAGCGACGACAAGCTCATGTTTCCTCTCGGATTTATTATTGAGGATTCTGCATTTTTTGTTGAGCTCTTGGGAAAGGGATAGCAGGCTAGTATACCCATGGATCAGAGGCAAATCCTTGAGACCTTTCACATTCAAACAAGATGAGAGAATCACCCACAACGCAGCACTTTAGTATGATTTAAGAGCATAGTCAAAAACATGAACTAACCCTGAAGTAAGTTACGTCCTGCCCTCTGCATTGACTGAGAAGGTTCCACTATATTAACTTTCTGCGCACACTTTGGCCAAACCTCTTGAACTGCCCTACAAGATAAATAAAATCAATCAACACAGAGCCAAGAAAATAAAAAAGAAAAGAGAATAAAGTCCTCACCAGAAGCCAGAACCGGTTCCGGCACCAAAATCAAGCACCCTTGTAGGCTTAAAATCAGGTAGCCTTCGACGAATCTACAAAAAGAAGTTAACATTGTAAGCAGAATCCTCTACAAAAGTCTCAGAGCACATGAACACCAGCATCCCTCAAGTATAAGTTTCATCCTTTTACACCAAATATCATGATTCTAAAAACCGGTCTAGGCCGCGCAGCAAATTGGTCCTAACGGAAACTATTTTCATAAAAGCTGATTTATACGAATCAAATCGGTTTAAACTATTCTAAATCGGTTTAAACTATTCTAAATCGGTTTAAACGGTTCTAAATCGGTTTAAGGGTTAAAAAAATGAAGCAGAGTTAAAAAAAAAATCAGCTTCTTTTTTAACCTCAGTGAGGATTCTGAAGCAGACGGAGTAGGCAGCAGGCATACGAGAAGCCACGTAAGCAGCAGTCTCACCGTCTCTGTATCGGAGACCGCTATCTCCATAAACGGTCTGTAACTTCCACCGTTTCGCCTCCACCGAGTTCATCGAATCAGCAAGACGCTTGGCCGTTGTTTCGGGTAAAAGGAGATTCGCGTCTTTTATCTCTTGGAACGATTCCGATAGCTGACGAACCTTCTTCCTGATGTGAGGATCATCTTCCTCGCGTAGGTATTTCTTTATTGCGCGGCGGAGACGCACCGGTACGACCAGGCATCGGAACGACTGCTTGGCTAATGTCCTTAGGTTTTCGATTGTGAAGGCTTTCTGGGCATTCGCCATTTCAGATGGCCGGAGCTCTTGATCTGATTTGCGTTGCGTTTGAGTTGCAGCCGAGGTTTTAGCCTAACCCCTGAGGAAGGACAGAGAGAGTCTAGGGCTTAGTGCTATGGGCCAACGCTAACGCTATAATTGGGAACACCAAATGGTTATTTAATGGGCCTTATAAAAGCACACTATCATGGAAATATCCATTTGACCACTGCCACGATCCAACGCTATTACCTGACCTAATCTACTTTAGTTTTTCATTTTTTTTGTTTTTTTGGGAATTTGCATTGTATTGTATGACAGTTAAAAATTTAACCGTAGGTAAGTTGGCCGTAGTAGTAAAGTTATTATTGTAATTTCTTTTTGCAGAGACTTTTGATGTAGTTAAGTTTGTTGTAGCTGTAAATTATAAGTAGTTATAAGTTGTACATATTTTAAAATAAAGTATGTGATGTATATATAAAACAATTTATATTAATAGTTTTTAAAAATTATGAAAATTTATTTAAAAATTAATATGTAAATAATATTTATGTTTTTTAATATTTCAATAATTTAAAAACCTCAAAAATAAATTAAAACATTTACAGATGTTTTTATTATGATTATATAATTTATTTGACATTATAGATAATTTTTTTTAGTTGACAGATTCTACAATCTAAAAATAAGGATGTAGACTTTTACTTAAAATACATTATAAAAAAAATGCTTTAATTTTTTGTAACATAAAAATAAAAATAAAGCATGATTGGTAAAAGTTAGTAGAAACATGATGTAGACTTTATATTTTAAAAATAAAGCTACAACATGATTGGTAAAAAATAGTAATTTAGAAATAAATAAAGTTAAAATAGGGAGATAAATCTCAATCAATCACCCCCTATAATTCACTCTATGGTTAAGTGCCCTACTTTTCGTGTGTATCACATGCATGTTGTGTAATATTACTATATTGTTATTCAAAAATAACCGGGAAAACCTACAGAGAAAAAAATATAAAAAATAACTCTTATTTAACAAAAACAAACTGTGGCAAGTGGAGAGTCACAACCTCTCCTTTCCATATTTGCTCCACCACTTTTTTCACCGCTTTCAGTCTTAGGTGTATCTTTCCGATAGAGAAGACTGCGTTCCACTGGTATCATCGCAGAGGTGACTATTTGCTGATTCAGAAAGCAAGAGAGGAGGCGTCGAAGTGACAGGAGCGGTGACGAGTTGGATCATCCCCTTCTGTTTCTTATTCACTTCAGCCATTTCTGAAACTACATTAGCCGACTGTAAGTTCCAGGGGCCTGATTCGTTACTCTAAATCTGAATATGTTTGTTTTTGACGATGTTATCCTTTTCATTATTTACCTACTTATGAGAAGTCATCAATTATTTTCTGTTGCATGTTGTGTTTCTTCTTCTTTTCGCATAAGAAGGATGAATTATGTGTTTAGAACGGTTGCCTTTGTCTACTCCCAAATTACGATACTTATCCTACGTTGCTTTGAGCCATCTTCTTTTTGTTGTTCCCATCATCTTTGGATCTGTTTTACTAGACTATCTCTAGATGTTACTATTCTATTCGACTCGGGAGTTTATGTTATATGATATATTCTATATTATAGTCAATTCTATGTTGCATGGTGTATACTATCACATATATAGTAAAGTAATAGAGACTACATAGTATATGACTTTCTCAAGTCAATATAGTATAGTACTTTGAATGAAATTGCATCATTTCTTTTATCGACTCTAAAATGCATCATTCTACACAGTATAGTCTTTTGCTTGAAAGTAATATACGATGTGTCCTGATTTACGTTCTATATCACACCTGTCAAAGTTTCTAGTAAAGTCGTTAGCCAATTAATTCCTTTTTCTTTGCAATTCTTTTCTTAGGTTTGTCATGGAAGAATTAAGCAATCTAAGTATATTTTTTGAAACTATATTTGAACCTGGGGGGTTGGAAACGGGTAAATAACTATTTCAATCTACGGTGGATCGAGTCAACCAAGACTGCCTTAGAACACGATCATTTGGCGATCATTGATATGAATTTTTGGTTTATGTATATTGATGACTAAATATTTACAAACTCAATTTTAGCATTTAGTTAACCACACCCATACAAGTGTAAACTTTACATAAATTTCTATTATTCTATTACTAATGATTAGATTTTTTTTAAAAGTAGATTATTATAATTGTATAGCACTATGTACTATGTTATTTATTTTGCTCATTATATTTAGGTTTAGGGTTTTTATTTTGGTTTAGGGTTTCATTATTAGGGTTTAGGGTTTAGTATTTAGAGGTTGGGGGTGAGGTTCAGGTAATGTTTAGTATTTAAGGGTTAAGATGTGGTTGGTGTCATATACAGTAGAAACTCTATAAATTAATACTCGATAAACTAATATACACTAAATATCTCTATAAAATAATATAATTTTATAGTCTCAAATTGAGTTTTTGGTTCGATTAGTATATCGATAAATTAATATCTTTCTAAATTAATTAAAAAACAAATATTGGTATAGTCCAAACATTATTAATTTATAGAAATTTCACTGTACTATTTTGGTTATATATATATAGAATATATCAATCTAATCATTTACCAACTCAATTTTTTTTTTTTTTAACTACATCCACACAAATGTAAACTTCACATAAAATTCTCTTATTCTATTATAATTAAGGTATTTTACATTTAATATATATTATTATAAATAATGAAAATATTATATCATGGTATTCTCTTTATTATAAATTTGGTTATCTAACAAATTCATTTTTAACTCAATAGTTTGGATTTAGGAATTAGGATATAAGGGTTAGTATTTAAGGGTTTTGGTTGGGTTAAGTATGTAGGGGTTATGGATGGAGTTAGAATTTTATACTATTTTAGGGATATGGAATACACTCTTTATTTGAAAAATTCTATTTTATTCACCTTATCTATCAAAACAGAAATCAAGACTTCTTTCATGTTTGTTTTCTTTTAATTTGGACTATCACTTAAATTTTTATTAAATATATTTTACTAAGACTAATAATATATACAATCTTTAAAATACTCTAATCATAATATCTTATGAAATCTTTTAATTTAAATATAATTATATTTATTTAAAATTCTAACAAATATGTTTTAAATGATTTTTACAAGATCTTCATTTTTGATATTATATTTAAATATTTTCACTAATCTCAAAATTATTTTGAAATATTATTATAAATTAATATATTCAATTGACGTTTATAAAATGAAAATTTTAAAATTATATCATATTTTATCTATTTTATAACCATAATCAATCATATTAAAAGAAAATTATTCTATTGAGATAAAAATAATAAAATTGTATTAAATTGATAAATTTATATATTTTATTTTCGTAAGTATAAAATATTTAAATTTAAGAATAAAATATAATAAGTTAGTAAGATGGATTAACATTAGCAAAATATATAATACATGTATAGAAGGTAACATGTATTTCATTAAAGCTAATAATATAAAATCTTTGTACCTACTTTAATCATGATATCTTTTCATTTTAATATATATATATATATATTTGTATATTAAATTTTAAAAATTCTAATAAATCTGTGTAAAGATATTTTTACAATAACTTGATGTATTTTAACTTTAATTTATCATTTATAAAATGAAAAAATTAAATTCTATCATATTTTCTGTACTTTATAGTTATAATCATTATGTTAAAAGACAATTATTATATTGAACTAAATATGATAAAAGTATACTAAATCTATAAATTTTATAAAAAAATTTATAAATATAAATTATTTATTTTAAAAATAATCTAATGACATAATGGCTTAAAATTAGCAAACTATATAGCATATTTCTAAAAATTAACATATCTTGATGAAAAAAATATCTTAGACTTTTGTATGTACAATAATATGTTATCTAAAATGCATAAATATAAAAATAATGGATAAAAAATTTTAGCTTTGAATGAAGGGTCAGAATTTACCTGAAGTTAAATACAATATAATTTTCAAATATGTTTTCTTGAATATATTAATTTTATTAATAACTAAATTCAAATACAATAAGATTAATATATAATAAGAAGTGATAAATATATACAGTTTTAAATAATTGATTAATAATATAACATGTAAGTTATAAAATTATAATAGTTATATAAACATTTAAGTATATGATTAACGTTAAAAATATATACCACTTATGTTTTAAAACAAATATTTATGTATATAAAAGTGAAAATAAACATCTGCGCGGTTGCGCGGATCAAAGTCTACTTCATTTTGTTGCACATACCATAAAGCAAATACATGTGTGACGTTGTTGATTTTACGTGAGATGATTATAAATAATGGTGTTTCACTTCTGTCCATGGTAAACATTAAAAGAATATGAGGAGTAAAAAATAAATGAATGAAAGGGAAAAAATATAAGTGGAAAATCTATTCATTTCCTAACTTGATAAGGAATAATTGTAGTCTATTATTTTTTTATGTTAAAGAATAGGGAAAATTGCCAAATATGACTCAAAACTTGATTTGAAATGAAAAAATAAACCCAAACTTGAATCAAATGCAAAAGTAACTTAAAAGGCTATTGAAATTACAACCAACCCCTTGTGAACAAACAAAAAAATGGTATTTTTTTTACGTTTCTAATCCTCGTAAGTCGTCTGCCCAGACGACTTAACTTAAAGTCGTCTGGGACATTTTTTCTTAAAAATAATTTAAAAATTGTGTAATAAATATCTTAATAAATGAAAAATTGGGATTATGTAATTAACATATTTCTTAAGAGATATAAATTAAAATATAACAAAAGTCAGTTGTTTTCAGCATAGATGAGTGAAAGTAGTGAGTCATGATATTCTTTAGTTTAGGTTTCACTAATATATGTTGTAGTATTGTATGTGTTTCTTAGGGTTAGATTTTCGAAAGCATAAATGTTTTTTGAAAAATTAAAAATTTATCTAAGTGTGTTTATTTCTGTGTATAGTAAACACTATTTA